ATAAAACATTCTTGGTCACCTCGGTAACCCATAAAACATTCTTGGTCACCTCGGTAACCCATAAAACATTCTTGGTCACCTCGGTAACCCATAAAACATTCTTGGTCACCTCGGTAACCCATAAAACATTATTGGTCACCTCGGTAACCCATAAAACATTATTGGTCACCTCGGTAACCCATAAAACATTCTTGGTCACCTCGGTAACCCATAAAACATTATTGACCACCTTGATAGCCTTTAAAAGATTTTAAATCACCATGGTAACCTATAAAACATTATTGATCACCTCGGTAACCCATAAAACATTCTTGGTCACCTTGGTAACCCATAAAACATTATTGATCACCTCGGTAACCCATAAAACATTATTGATCACCTCGGTAACCCATAAAACATTATTGACCACCTTGATAGCCTTTAAAAGATTTTAAATCACCATGGTAACCTATAAAACATTCTTGATCACCTTGGTAACCCATAAAAGTTCTTGATCACCATGGTAACCCATAAAAGTTCTTGATCACCATGGCAACCTATAAAACATTCTTGATCACCTTGGTAACCCATAAAAGTTCTTGATCACCATGGCAACCTATAAAACATTCTTGATCACCTTGGTAACCCATAAAAGTTCTTGATCACCATGGCAACCTATAAAACATTCTTGATCACCTTGGTAACCCATAAAAGTTCTTGATCACCTTAGTGACCTATAAGACACTTGATTACCATGGTAACTTATCAAAGAATCTTTAACCATGGTGACCAATACAAGATTCTTGGTTACCTTGGCAACCTCCAGCGGACTCGGCCCAGGATGACTCGTCCAGTGTATCACCATGGTAACGGCTGAAGGCGTCAGTGATGGAGCTGATGGATGATTCCTCTCCGAACTGACTGTGCAGTCTGGGCCGGAGCGGAGTGGCGCTGAAGGAGCTGATGGAGCTCGTGCTGTAACGAGACGAGTAACGAGACGCCATGAGCTGACGGATGGAGGACAGGAGCGCACTCTCTGTGGTCATATAGAGAGCTGCCCCGGTGCATTATGGGATATCTGGACTCTCTAACCGCTCCATAAAAGGCCGAGCCCCTGGAATCCACTTATGGAGTAACGGTCAGAGAGATAAGACACGGAAAACTTCTCCAAACGAGCGGGAGACCCCGGCAGAAACTGTGTTATCTGAATCACACACAGATAAAAAACAGCTGAAAATAAACAAATGAAGTATTAATAATAAAAACAACAACAAAACAAAGTAACCACACAATTAGGGATCATAATTAATATATGATATCCGTTTCGATGCTCAGTGGTGATAATTTGAGACATTATTTCCATTAAAAATAAATGGAAGAATAAAGTTAAAATATAGAATTATTTAAATATAGAAAATAATAAATAAAGGAAAAAGTAATACAAAATAAATGCAAGACTAAATTTAAAAATAATTGTATTTGTTTTATCATCAAGTCATATATTCATTCATTCATCTTTCTATTGTTTATTTATTTACTTATTTTGCAGGTTTGTTTCTCCGTAGTTTCAGTGCTCAGTGGTGACGATTTGTAACTTTACTTTCAAGCAGTAAGATATCCAGACAGCAACTTAAAGGGGTCATATGATGCGATTTAAATTTTTCCTTTCTCTTTGGAGTGTTACAAGCTGTTGGTGCATAAAGAAGATCTGTAAAGTTGCAAAGACTAAAGTCTCAAATCCAAAGAGATATTCTTTATAAAAGTTAAGAGTCAGCCACACCCCCCTAAAACACCTCGTTCTAACACGCCCCCACATATCTACCTCACGATGTGGGAAGATTTGCATAACGCCGCCCAAATGTTCACGCAAAGAAAGAAGGCGTAACTTTTATTCTCGCTGTAGTATTGTTGCTGCCGCCATGTCGTGAAGACGCTGTGTGCTTCGTTGTGAAAGCGAAACTACTTTGTTTGGTCTTCCAAAAGAGGACAGGACTAGAAATCAGTGGTTAAGTTGTATTTACAACACTGTTCCAGAACACTTCAACCCAAATATTCAGATGTGTGCAGCACATTTTATGGAGGACTGTTTCCTGATCCTGGGAGAGTAGACTACAATGCCGGCAGTTATTTAAATTTATTTTATTTATGTATTTAGCAGACGCTTTTATCCAAAGCGACTTACAGTGCATTCAGGCTATACATACTGATAAAAAAAATGTGTGTTCTGACTGTTCTGACTCAAATTAAAAAGACAGTAAGTCATTATAATCAGTAATTATGCCCCCACTGGATGCAACAAATGCCTCGTTTATAATGGGTTTTCATGTGTTTGTCTCGTCGCTCCGGCCGGACAGGGCATCACAGTATGGTGAGGGGCGTAACATTTCCGTCACACGCTTGAGGTATTCGGCCAATCGCAACGCACTGGATAGCTGGCCAATCACAGCACACCTCGCTTTCAGACCGATGAGCTTTGTAAAAATCAACTCGTTTCAGAAAGGCGGGGCATAGAGGAGAAACAATAATGTACAGTATGTGGAAAATAATGTGTTTTGAACCTTAAACCACATAAACACATTTCATTACACCAAATACACAGAATATGACCCCTTTAATAAATAACAAAATGAAAGGTGTAGAGTCAGACTGTAGCGTGTGCGGTTCGTTCACTATCAAGGGACTGAAGAGAGTCTAATTAAGCACTGAATGGGAGACTTCAGTCCACAGAGTGTTTCACTTCCAGAACACAAACCTTCATAGACCCCCGAGCGGATCTAATTAAGAGACAAACGCATGTTTAACACACACACACACACACCTCTGACCCCAGGAAAGTGTCCGCAGAAGGGGGCCTTCACTCCGTCACAGTCCAGCGACTCGATTGGACGGTTAAACGTGCATCACAACAGGCAGCATCCGGCCAATCAGAGCACAGAGTGACAGACAACTCAAGATGCTTTTTATAGCATTTAACCTTAAAAAGAGCTCATCTTCTCACACACACACACACACA